TGAAAAAAAAAAAAAAAAAAAAACTGAAATGAATCATTTTATTTAGCAAGGATCAAATAAATTAGATTTCATAAGATACGTCTTATTGCTTCTTACATTAAAAGATATTACCCCAAACTTTTGAATGCTAGTAAAGAAATACATGCGTGCCTGCATTTTACTACAAATCTTGAATAACTGACCTTTTTTAATTTCTTAAACTTGTGAATCAATGGTTTTGACTTGAGAAGACTTGGAATATAGTGCACGAGTCTGGACTTGTGGAGTACTGGAGTCTGGTGTATGGACTATTTTTTTTATAATACTTTTATAGTGCTTTATTTTCATTATTAGAGCTTGACAACTTCAGGTCCCACTTTCATTATATGGATGAGAGAGCCTGGACATTTTGCCAAGTATCTTCTTTTCTGTTTCACAGAAGAAAGAAAGTTATATGAGTGTAACTAATTAACCATTTTAATTTTAGGGAAAAAGAAGGCAGAATTTTAGATGTGAACAATTAAAATTGCCTTTCTCTCTGATTTGCTCTGTCTCTCTTTCATGTGTTGCCTCAATCTTCCTCCCACACTTTAGCAGAGTGATAACAGGTCCTAGAAATGCATCCTAAAAATAAACTTTTGGCAACACGCTTTTCTATGCAAACAACACAATTGAGAAAGCACACTCACAAACACACACACACACACACACACACACACACACAAAGAGAAAAAGAATAAGAGAAAGACTGACACAGTGCTTCTCAATGCAAATACAAAATAATTTTAGCTGCACAAAGTGTTGTGGTTAAATCCTGTCTTCCCCAGAAGAAATGAACAGAGCGGATGAAAGGATCTCAACTGAGGCCCGAACTGAATGCATGGAATATGCATCTCTGATTGGTTGTGAGAATGTAAGAAGAAATTCCAAATTAATTCGATGTGGGTATTATGACTTAAGTAGTGAGGGAGGGGTTAGGGGGGCTTCCTTAATTGTCTCTGTTGTTCCGTCTTGCCTTGGCTCTAGCATTAAACTGTAATGTGCCTCATTTCCCTTTCACATGTAGAAAAAAGCTTTGTGGAATTTCTAAATGGGAGATGTTGGCATTGAACTGATGGACTGGTGGTGGGGAATGGCAGGGGTGATTTTTAAGGATGAATATGCACCCTCAGTATGGTGCACCACCAGAGCCAGCAGGCATTCTGCTGGTGTAGCATGTTGGCATCTGTGAGATTACAAAAAAACGTGTTTCAAAAGAGGGTTGGAAAGCAAGCAGAAAAAAATTATAAAGCGAAAGAGCAATAAAACTCCCACTGATGTTTGGTTATTATTTCCACTAACATAAACTGGTGGCTGCATGTGGAATGCAAAATGTTATTAATAATTATTGTTTCAGAATATATGTAAGGGACGTGCCCAAAGCCAAATACCTTATTCAGAAATGCATAGATAATGGATTCAAAATGAATAACGATAATGGGAAAAATATTCAGCCTACACAGTCACACCTTGTGTTTGCTGAATAACAGCTAAGCCAGGGATAACATAATATTACTGATGCCCAGAAATTTCAGCAACCAAAAACTGAAAAAACGTAAACATCAATCTTCAGTTACGGCAAACATAGTTTTGGAGGGCCAAAATATTAATGTTTAATTAGCGTTTGTCCGATGGCACATTTTGACTGTCAGTGTCTATGTCGTGTATATGTATGGATAAACTAAAACAGGTAAACATATCAGCTGGAAAACAGGTAAACATATCAGCTGTGTGGGCATTATTGCTTAACAATAATTATTTATTGTTTTTAATCAATACAGATATGGATTCAAATTATGTAATGCCCTTATCAGTACAATCAAAAATGACTTAGTAATTTAAATTCTTTTCAGCGTTATCAGGAAAAAATGCCACAAAACCCGCTGAGGCATTTGCCAACCCCAGAGGGTTAAATCCACTGATCTATAATAGAGAACTGGATTGTTCATGACTCATATTGCTATTCCCCAGTATTCATATTCTATTGAATTAATAGGAAATCGTATGATTCTATTGAGAAAACATCACATAACACGTCAGCGTCTTTATATCTACGCAAAGGTCTTAAGCATGTACGGTTATTTGTTTAATGTCTGGAATTTCCCCTGCTTATTAAAAAGTTATGTTCATATTACAGTGGCAAACATCAGATGAACTTGATAAACATCGGATGGACGAAATCCTCAATATATATAAATCTGAATAAATATTTATGCTTTGTATGTGTCACAATCTGTGATGGCGAGGAACGATGGAGACGAGGAATAAAAACGAAACAGTCTTTAATCCATGGAACACAGGGTACATCAACACTGGGAGGCGACGAAGGAGGGAGGAGCCAGGGAGGAGACAGGAGGGGCCCGGAGCAGGAGGAGCCAAGCAGGACCCAGGCCACAGCCATAATGTCGACCCACGGTGGAGCCGATGGAGGGAGGAGCCATAGAGGAGGAATGGCCGCCGACTCCAGGAGGCCGACCAACGGCAGCGGAGCAGGTGGTGGAGGAGCCCGAGGCGGAGACGGAGAGCCAACGAGCCAGGGGAATGGCGAGGATTCGGGGGGCCAGGGTGGAGCCGAGGGTTCTGGCGACCAAGGAGGAGGCGGAGATCCGGAGATCCAGAGATCTGCGGTGGAGCCGGAGCGACTGAGGACCAAGGTGGAGCTGGCGGGAGGAAGGAGCCCAATAGAGCCGATGGGACAGAGCAACGATGTGCAGCCGGAGGAGCAGAGTCCTGAGGCGATGGCAGGTCGACGCCCGACCAAGGCGGAGCCGGAGGGGCAGACCCGCGGCACTCGCACAGTAATAATGGTGGGCTGAGGGCGAGCAGAGGGGCTGCCAGAAGACAGCGGTGGAGGAGGCAGGAGCAGGTGGGAGGGCGGGCATTTGAGCGTCTCCGGGCATTCAGGGCTTAACTCTGGATCGGAAGCGCCCTCTAGACTGAACATGGGAACAGGATGGCGCTCAGGAGGAGCAGACACTTGAGGGCGCTTATGAGGAACTGGCACTGGAGGGCGCTTTCTAGGAGCGGGCACAGGAGGGCGCTCTGGACTGGATTCGGGGACTGGAGCCCTGTCCTCTTCGCTTTGGCACTTTTGCTTTGGCTGCGCCATACTCAGCTCACCCTCAGCCGCGGTGCGCGCTCACACCGTCCGCGGCTTTCTTCTTCGTGGCATGCATTGTCGCCGCACAGCGGGGAGATGGTGGGCTGGGCTCTGGGTCCGGAGTGGATCTGGCGAGATCATCTTCGGGAGTGATGGTGAGAGGTGACCCGTTTCTCACCAGAATCCACTCCACAAATGCGGCGAAATCCTCTCGAGGACCATCTTTGGACAATGGCGCTCTGCACTCGATGTTTAGGCTGGCGTCGTAGAACGCACAGAGCGCGTCGTCCGGGTAGCTGGTGGTGCTTGCTAGCAGCTGGAACAGTCTAGTATGGTCCTCGAGAGCTTTGTCCCCCTGCTCCAGCAGGAGGAGGAGGTATTCGGGGCGAAGAAGGGCATCAATCAGGGAACAACGGAAAAAAAAGACACTGGGTGAAAAACGAGAAAACAAACGGAGGGGAAAACACGGAGGTGACTGTTTTGGTCGGTTCTTCTGTCACAATCTGTGATGGCGAGGAACGATGGAGACGAGGAATAAACGAAACAGTCTTTAATCCATGGAACACAGGGTACATCAACACTGGAGACAGCAGGAAACACATCAACGTAACGAGTAGAACCGACAGAGACAGACTGCACAGACTAAAAGTAAAAACTGACAGGGCGCTTTCGGAATCTGACGCTGCATTAACGGCGCATATTCTCTCAGAGACGACGAAAGACGAATCTACTTCATATGCTGATTAATGGTAGCTAAATTAAAACCTATATAGCTAAATGTTTTAATTTACTCCCTTAATATTTCTCTTGTGGCCCAAACATAGGCTAGTGGAAAAAAAATATATATAATTAAAAAAAAAAAAAAATAGGCTAAATAAAGAGAGAAAAAACGTAGGCTATTTCGTGTTAAACAGGTTTTTTTTTGTTTAAGTCGGTGCTTGAAATAAAGCTTTTTCATTGATGATTGCAGTGTTAATAATTTTAATTATAAGCCTATAATTCATTGTATAATAAACCTGTTTTGAAAGACCTTTTTAAAAACATTTTCAATGAGGAGTAAGCTAGCCTAATCTTCATTATCCTCGTCAGTTATGCGATGATGTGCTATGAAATTATTGCGGGGCAAATTAATTGTAGCCTCATATTAATTTAATAATAAAAGTTACTTAATAATAATTATAATAACAGGCCTAATAGGCTAATAAGAAGAATGTAACAGGCCTATGTTAATTGAAAATGCCAAATTAGATATAACTAAAGTGTATAAAATTATTTTATTCAGAAATGTCATGTTTGTGACAAATTAGGAAACAGGTGCAGTTAATCGCCAGCATCAGTCATGAAAATTATATTTAAAAAAATAATAATAATAATAATAATAAAAAAATAGGCTAATCTTTGTGAGGATGACTGGCAACAGCTGGTCTTAAATTCTTTAGACACCGCATACCAAACGACTTTGAACACTGAAAACACTGACTGAGCTGAAATGACATTTCATAATTGGCCTGACAGTAGTGTGTTTCCCGGCTTCACAGAATGAACCGGTTCGCGCGTGGAACTGAAAGTCTTACCGTTACTTGTGGGCTGATGGACGGGCTTACTCCCTCGTCAGTGCGAGTTTTTAAAAGTTTTTTTTTTTTTACAGAATTATGCATTGCTGCTGTTTTTCTAACATTTTCTAACACAGCTGCAAATTACAGTCCAACTGAATGGGTGAACACGCACAAATTTAC